CCACGTGTATCGAGGTAGATAAAAGAGCCGCGAAGAGCGAAAGAGTGCTTCGAACATGAATAACATATAGCGTGTATGTACAGGTATAGGTATATACGCGGGGCGTATAGGTAGGCCGGAGGTTAAGTAGCGTGTGCGGACGCGCATAACGGCACTAATGTACATTTAATGTCTTAACTTTGAATGCGGCTCGAGACTCACCGTGAGATAACATTTTAAATATGTTTTTGCATTTATGCGCGCCCGACCAGTCCCCTCGCGTCACGAGAAAAGAGCCGGCTAGTAGTCAGTCAGTCAGTCAATGTAATACGGTATAATACACAATACAGTGCAATACATTGCGGTACAGTACGGTGCAGTACGGTGCTCTGCAGCGCGACGAACGCAGGACAAGGAAAAAAGAAAGTTTTTAACGCAACGATTGCGAGCTCGACTGCTGTGTTCCGTCGCCCCCCTCCCCAAGGCGCAGCAGCAGCGCTAAGGTACTTTTTCCAAGGGATTTCCGCGCTTTTTCTCTATTTTTCTTTCTTTAGGTAGAAAGGCTGCATCAAGAATCTACGATCTTACTGTCGACCGGGGAATACCAGAAGTTTTTCCATTCGCCGCAACGACATAAGAAACGAAGAGGCGCGGAGTACGTCCTTACTTGACCCCGACATGACGAGCGAATTTTAGTGAGAATACCGCGAGAAGACCGAGTCAATTTACCAAAGTCCTATCTTCGTTCATGTTCGTTAACGCGGCTGTGATCGTTTTATCGCGCTAATTCAGGGATTGAAATCTGGCCTATAATAGATATAGGAGGTAGACAGAAATAACTCGCACAATAGGTATCCGAATTGTCCAACGTTATATCTCCTTTTAAACGTGTAAATTTCAAGAAATTATCTTGGGATAGTAGCATTAAATTAATCCAGTTTTAACGAGATTATACATAATGAATATCAGAGAGAGAGAGAGAGAGAGAGAGAGTTGTAATATTGTCGAAATATGCTATAAACTCGTGCAGAATATAACTGAGATTGAAGATATACGTGTATTTGCCTATTCTTAAATTTAGGCCACTTTTTGCAGAAGGTACATTTCCAACTTATCGCCTGCGATCGTTATCGAGATATCCATTCGCAAGTAGCTTACGAGTCATTTAAACTGTCTCGATTCATAACATTTTTTCGAATTTACTCACGTGTTTCCTACTGAAAATAGTCAATCGTGTCATACATCATAATGTCACACATAAAAATAGCACACAAAGCAATTCACCGAGAGATCCTCCGCGCCAATACGGCTAAAAGAGTAACACAAACTTCGACTACGAGCGATCGACATTTTATTTTGCGCTGACCCTACATTTCACACTTGGCCCATTTCTCCTGGCCGGTTTCTATCTTCGGAACAATCCGCGGTTGCGTCTCATCGTCACCCGCCGGATTTATTTCCGTTCAATTTGAAATATGCCGCTTGTGTGTTCGTATTCGAGAAACACGTACTCTTTCGAGAGAAGCTCGTATTTCTTAGCAAATACAAATGCAATTTCCCAGCGAAGGGCAGAACGAATTTGCCGAAGCCTCAACCTCGTAACAAATTGGGAAGTACGCGGCGATAATCTCCCTTTCTCTCCCCCCCTCCTCTCTCTCTCTCTCTCTCTCTCTCTCTCTCTCTCTCTCTCTCTGTCTTTGCTTATGGAACGAGTGGTATCTCGCGATAAATTCCGAGCTATAACGCGCGCCATGCCATTCTGCGCGGTCTCATTGCTCCATTCAGGGCCGTCTGAACTGCTAAACTGACATTATTGCACGTAACGCGAGTGCTCCGGCGTATTCGAATTTATTCGGTGTGCAAGCCGTCGACAGGTTCGTTCGTATGCATAGCCCAGCATGTTGATTGGCTGGCACGCAAAGTCGTGCTCTCACGCCGGCAAAGTCCGCCCGTGGCTGCTCTATGCCCCCGCACCGGGCGGATTGCATACGCGTTGTATTAATATGTATTTAAATTAGTGCCTCAAAGCGATACGAAATTACGGCGCTAGTTGCCATACATGGCTGCTGGTGAAATACACACGAATTGCTTAGGCCGATCATGAATGACACAATATCCTTGCGGTATCAACATTCCGAAGGCTTTCACGGCCCGCCGCTGCCGTCGCTGCGTTTTGTATTGACATATACCGCCAATTATCAATTCAACATCGAGCGCCCGGGAAGCGCCGAGTCCGAGAGTTTTGTCCGTGCGTCTCTCTTTAATTCGGTGCGTTGACCACGCGACCGAAAAAGGCGGGAAAGATCGACTCGGTCGATTAGCTCGGACCGCCATCGCATCATTCGCTGTCATTTTTTCCTCCGTTTTTTACCAAACGTACCGCGGCGTCGGCCAACGACAGCCGAATGTCGGGACGGGAATTAGAAAATAACTTCGCAAGCCCCGGGACAACGATAAAGCACGCTGCTCTTAACACGTCGAACACAAACGCTCGCCCGAGGCGGAGAACTCGAAGTGATGTAACGAGTTACGCAACTTTACGTACGGTCGTAATCGCCGCTGAAAGGCCGTCACGGCTGTATAAGCCAAGCTCTTTTCTTTCTTTTTCTCTCTCTTTCTCTCCCTCCCTCCCTCTCTCTCTCTCTCTCTCTCTCTCTCTCTCTCTCTCTCACTCGCGCGCACGCGCCCTTTCTCCCTCGATTATCGCAGAGAGAACACGTGAAATCTCAGCAATGTCACCGAGGACGAAGCTGGCAACGAATTGTCGCGTTGTATGCAAAACTCACGTCGCACTCGTTTCGAACCCGATGTAACGCTGCAATACGTCATACGGGACCGCAGGACAGCGGAAACCCTTTAATCACGAGATCAGGAATCAGTAATTACGAAACTAGTGAATACCGTATTTCTGCACATAAAGCCCGCCGCCGCCCCGTCATTCGAGCGCTGCGTCGTGCAATTTTAATTAATTGCACCGCGCGCCAGGAGCGCACGTGCGAGCCCTGACCGAGCTATAATTTTAGGAAGTTCAATCCCGCGCTCGCACGTCGCCCCTTGTATTTTATAATCCAACCGACGCGACGCGGCGCGACGCGACGCGACGCGCGTCGTCGTGCGTATCGCGAGAAAAAAAAAGAAGGAGAAAGAAAACACCATAAACGCAACGTGTGACGCATAGCACAGATGCCGACACAAGCGAGAACAAAGAACGCGAGCGTCGCCGACCGACGCTCGCGAAACTCGTTACACCGGGCCGTTGTATCTTTAATTAGAATATTACAAAGTTATATCAGCAGGCGTAGATCCAATTTAATCCGGATATTCCCGTCGCCGGCTTTCGTAAGACTCGAGAATCCGAAGCTATTCTTTGTTTCTCTCTCTCTCTCTCTCTCTCTCTCTCTCTCTCTCTCTCTCTCCCTCCCCCCTCTTTCTATCTCTTTGTCTATCTGTGGTCTTCTATTTCACACCTCTATTCGCTCTGTCCCAATTCCTTTTTAATCATTGTGTGTCCTACGCTTTCTCCCCTCACCTCCCTCGCCGACCTGCTCCAACCCAAACTACTTGTCGCCGTCGAGATAAAGTAGATACCGCCGCGTCAAATCGTTTAAAAGTTGGAGAATAGCCGCGAAAGGAGAAAGCAAAGTTTATACCCCGAGACTCTTTAATATATCTTATTAGGGTATAAGTAGAGAAAATGACTAGCCGACTTATTTAGCGATAATTATGAGATGCCGAAAGAAGATTCGAAGGTATCTCCTCAACTTTCCGCTGATTAAACGCGCGAGGGGAAGAGGAGACGATAACGCGACGCGCGGGTAAATAGCGCACGGCGAACGGAAGACTGATTAACGCTGATCGAAGGGATGCAACATTTATTAGCGACGAGAGCGTACGATTCAACGGCGATTAAACATACCTTACACGTGACGCCGAATCGAAATACACCGATGGAGCGTTCCACAGGCAAATACGGTGAAGCGATCACTGCAAACTCGCGCGCGCGCGCGCGCGCGAGGAAAGGAAAAACGAGAATAAAAGGCACGCGCGCGATACTCACACCCATCCTCCGCGTAATACAATGTTTTGAAACGATTTACAGTCGAGATACGGCGCGTCCAGCGACAACTGCGACGTACAACCGAGGGCAATAACGGCGAATAGCGAGGAGCCATCGATGAGAGCGCGTCGATATCGTTTCGATAAACTTCAGTCAGAAAACTCTGTCTCGCGAGGAAAATTCGAGCGCGCGACGCACAACAGCGCGCGCTGCGCGCTGCACTTCCGCGATTTCTCTTCCAGCAGATGCTGCAACGATCTGCCGCGGCCATCTTTCGCCGAACGCTCATACGTGACGTGACGAACTTGCGTAATTAGCCTATGCACGCGGCGGCGTGTAGCGCCGCGGGGCCCGCTGCGAGTGACCCGTTATGAATCTAATTGAAACACAATCGCGCGCGCGCGCGCGCCTTATCGAGCGGCATAATAACGCCCGCGGCATTATTCGTCGCCGGTGAGCATCGCGCCGCGCGAGTGAGTGCCGCGATCCGCGGCGGTAATCCAGTTCACCCTTGGCAGCAATTCAACGCATAATTGCCGCACGGTCAAAGCTCACGCGACGCCGCTTCGGTCGGCTATCGAAAGTAGCCGCGCGCTGATCTCTCGGCGTTGTACGGGTCGAACACGAGTCGCCTCTCGTGTTTCGCCACGCGGCGATATCCGCGCTGAAACCGAGACGCGGTACAAACACACGAGATCGACGAAGCTCGTGATATTGGGGGTCGATGTGTAAATACCGTAAGCCGTAAAATTAAATCCATCGCGTGCGACGATACGCATCGGTGTGCGCGCTCGAACATTCATGCCTTACGGCGGATTTAATCACATTACCGTTGTAGAGGTGCGTGCGTATATTATATATCGTGCCCGCGGATATCATCGCGCGCGCAACGTACGAAAATGTCTCACGTTTCAATCCCGCCGCGCCGCCTAGATAGCGGGCGGAAATATCGCGATCCACATACCTTGGCACATTATTGTGATAATATGTAATATACTGATGGTCAAGTATCGACTTCTTCTTTGCCGGTCCGCCATTGTTCCCTCGACGTGCGCTTCAAGTTCCGCAGGTGATCTGTAAAAACGGAAAGTGGGACTCAGTCATGAGGAAAAAAAACGCGGGATAAATCGATCGGTCGAGTATGCGAATATGCGCGCTTATCGAGTCTTTCCTCCATCTCGTCAATCTTTTCTCAGCGATGCAAAAACAAGCAGGAAGATAACATTCGGTCATCTTCATACGAATATAATTCGAGATAAACGTATGAATGAGACGGAAATTGTCGGATGTCGGTTAATCTTTTTCGCGGCTTTTCGAACTTCGCTAGCTCTCTCTCTCTCTCTCACTTGCTCTTGCTCTTTCTTTTTACTCTCTCGCTCCGCAACGCGAGGAAGGAGCGTGAGAATAAAACGCACGTGAAAGCGACGGCTTCAAGGGAATAATAAAAGGCATTTATTATTAATGATACAGCTCGCCGCGTGATCACCGTACGCCGTTGTTGTCCGCGAGCAAACAGATCGCTCGGGTTATTAGCGGCCTTCAGTAAATAACCCTATTTTATCATTAAGGGTATGATATAAATCTAACACAATGCACGCGCGCCAGCGCCGGTGAATAACACATGCACACGTCAATCTGCCATAATGTGCATGTCCAAATGCATATTGCAATGTTGCAATATGCCGATTGGTCGGAAACGCGCGCAGCCGTGAAATCATTAACGCACGGCTAAGTCAATGTAATACGCGGACGCAGTAATTAACGAACGTCCTATGTTAATCAGACTTATCGAGTTGAAATATGTGCATAATACGCGACAAGATGCGACTGCTATTCACGGTTCAAGTTCGTATCCAATATCGCGCATGCATACAGCTCAATGACCATCGATGGCGTTCCACGAGCACGAAGATCACATCAGCGTAAGATAACTCGATGAATAGCACAGCGGTATAATTATCCGAGGAATCGCCGATGTGCCGTTCGGCATTAATTTTATGTATTTACGGGCATACACAGAGACTCGCGCGCGGGGAGGGGGGAAACATTTGATCCGAAATACCGATAGATGAAGAAGTCGAATAATGAGAGGGGCTGTTTTTATTTGCTCGCGCGCGCAGTGCGCCGTCGACTCTCGACGATATGAATGAACGATACGCGCGCGCACGCGCGCGCGCAACTTTTTCAATGTTTAAATTAACCTGAATTGACGCAGAGTGTCTGCGGCAGCGGCGATGGCGCAACCGCGGATTGGTTAGATCCTCGCGCAAGAATAGTACAAGTCGAAAATGCGGGATAATTTTTAGCGCGGACGAAACTCTCTGTCTAGTCGCCGGTCTCCTTGACTAATTTACTCTTCAATTTTTCTTCAGATATTAATAAGATATTAATCGTGGTATCTCTATGCGTGTGCGCGACATCACACAAATACTCCCGTCACTTTCATCCCGTAATTGTGCAGTGAATTATATGTACATGTAATGTGTGCCTCTTTTTTTCCTTTTGAAGATTCATTAAAGCTAGGTATTTTTTAGGTGAAGCCGGCTGCGCAACAGAAATGTTTCGAGGCCGTTATACGGATATTTAAAGTGCACCAACTCTTCTAATATTACGCGCGTAATGCGCAATTCATAATGTTATCACGAGTTTTGCCGGGATATATAACAGGGATTTTCATAACGATGCCACGCGTTGGTACTCGAGTAAAACGACCCGCGGGTCGCTATAGCCCTGAATTTACTTCTACTATCGCGTTCGCTTCATAATTAGCAAACTCAGTTACCTAACACTGTTACAGCTCTACGTCCGCGTTCCTTTATCTATTTTTCTCGTAAACTTGTTTGCGACGGGTTCGCGTCGAAAAATGTTTTGCATGAACAGCCCTCGGCGATTCTCCGTTACACCGCCAGTTACTCCTCTCTGCGGTAATCCAGCACAATATGATCGTTGATAATGGCAACACAATTAAAAGATAAACGTACAAGGACTGCGTGAGGAGGCAATAAATGTTAAAAGCACAGTTGAACGTGCGAACGAGCGAAATTCGTCCGTCAGACTCATCGTGCTTTAATTAAAGTGACCTGAACGCGCTAAGGGGAAAATAGTTTGTTGTACGATAAAGCACAATAACTCGCGGGAAAAAAAATTACTACGCGCACAAGAGAATGCCGTACGCGAGGTGCGCGCGTCGCGGTGCGATTTTCTCGCGCGAAAATCATACGCGCACGAAGAATCACAATCGCTGAATATTGGGGGCGCTGTCGCCGTTGATTGTATGCAAATGCATAAGCGTGCCGTGCAAGGAGTCACGTAGTTTAGGTATCTCCGTGTTATGTCACATCTACTCGCTTGAAGACCGCAGTTAGTGCATGCTAAACTTCGAAGACGTACAGCTATGTTTACGTCCGGGAAACGAGCGACTAAGAGACTGCACGTCGAACACTTGCGGTATGCATATCGAAGTAGGAACGAAATTACGATATTAATTCGCCGCTCGACGAGCGCGCCTCGTTCCTCGTTATCGGCTTCGAATCGGCGTTCACGTCGCCTTCGTTGAAGCGTGCGAAACGGCCTTGCGATTTTGCAGCTATTCGTCGCGGCATATTTTTCGCAGAGAGAAGGCGGCCCGCGACACATCCCGCTCTGGCCAATTCCAAGATGTCGACGCGACGCGACGCGACGCGACGAATGTTCGCGCGAACGAGTGCGAAGCTATCGACCCTTGTGATGCACACGCCGTTAATATCGCGGCTGTGGCACGGCGTGTGCCGTGAAATTAGTCGGCCGCGTTAATTTATAATAGTTCCCAGAAATTGCTCCAATTACCGAGCGGCACCGTATCATTTCCGATTTCTCGGCCCGGCGCCGCGCCGTAGTAATTATTATATCACCGGGAGACCGGGGCCGACTGTGTTTACAGTCGTCCACGCTCGCTGACCGGTTCGCGCCAGTCGGTCTCTTTTAACGGCGCGCCGATAGTTTAATCCAATCGGGCCGATGGCTGTTAGTAATACAACCAGGGATTCGTCGCCACGCCGCGCCGTGCCGCGCCGCGCCGCGCCGCGTCGGCCGCGCCGTTGTGTCGCTCTCGGCTACTGCGCGACGCCCGAGATTTACGAGGTGATTTACAAATTGGCGGTTATTGTGCCCCGCTTCGAAATCAAACTGTCCTCTAAATCAAAATGTCTGGCGGCGTTCATTAAACGTCAGGCCAATCCGGGAAATCGGCCGCTCTCGCGGGCGCTTCCGCCGCTACCGCGCCGCGACAGTCGTTACTGCTTCCTCCTTCGCCTGACCTGCTCCGCCTCCACCTCCGCTTCCGTTACACGTTATATCTTCAATCCCATTGTACGGGAGTGTCGGCGCAATGCTCCGAATTTGTCGGCGAATTTGTCGCCGATAAGCGTAAATCGGGCGGACGCGCGCGACGCACGCCGGTTTGTTTTCCCGATATGTTTCGCGTAGCCGCGAGCAGCAAAACACGCCACGTCAGGAGCAGTTAAATTTTGCACCGCCGTAACGTCATTTTTAATCTCGCGCGATTTCGCGCGCCCCGGCGAAATCAGCGCGCGTACTTTAATCGCGCGTCCCTCCTTTTAATCGGTCGTTTTAATCGACGAGGACAGCGTCGGCTGATAGCTCTCGGTTCGATTCAATCAAGCTTCTCTCTTGCCCGCCTACACTTTGCGACAATAGGAATGTGAGTGGACAAACACGTCTCGCGACAACGCTGCGAAAACAAATACGAGTGATGCAGACTGTCTGATCACCGTGCATAATAATGCACGGAAGGTGTTTCTTCCGAAGGGAAGATGCAAGAATCGACGACGAAGAATTAAGGTCCCTGGAACTCACTCAACCCGCAAACTTTTTATAGCGATTTTATATTATTATTCACTTCTTTATATTTGTATTCACGATCATGAAATGGTCATTGTATAATTATCGGGAATATATTATATATCCACTGGATAAATAAGGCTCAAATCAAAGTTAGTGCTATGACCATAACTGACTCTCGATTGTGACAATTAATTTATGGCAGCAGCAAATAATGCTACTAATAATAACCAATATCACGATATATTATACGTCATGCCGTATGAAGCTATATAGTGTTAGACTTTGACTGCAAAACACAAATATAGGCTGCAATACGACCGGTAATATTCTAAGGAATATAATAATAAACGCGCAAATTTACACATTGCGTGAGATACTAAAAAGTTGTATTACGCGAGACATTAAATAGAGGGAGAGAGAGAGAGAGAGAGAGAGAGAGAGAGAGAAAAAGGATACAAATTAAAACGTTTCAATGTCGGATTAGCGCAGCATCGGCCTCCCCCCTCGAGGGGGGGAGGTTATTTTCCCCGGGCGATATTAAACATTTAGCGACGTGGCGTTAAAGACTAATAACCTACGTGAGCTACGTAACGAAGTCGCGTATATCGCGCACGGTAAACGTAAAAGCTAAAACACGGACACAATCGCTATGATGAGTCGAGCTGTGTCATGGTGAGGCCGCAATGTTCGATACAGGACAACGTCTCTATTTTCTTTACGACCGGCATTACTTTTATTATCCGTCGTCATAAAAGCACGGGTGAGAAAAACATCTCGGGCACAAGTAACGTTACAGTGCGACTTTTTGCTATACGACACGGCCGATCGCCGATATTCAGCTTGCTACACCCGTTCCCCGCGAAGAGCCTTCTTTCGCCGCTTTTTCCCCGCTGCGTCTACCTGACGATTAGTCGTCGCGACGACATCATCATAGAAGAATAGGCCAGACGAACAAAGCGCGCGAGATTTGACGCCAACTTGCAACTTTACGCATCAACGGTGCGCAACAGAGTAACAATGAGTAAACATAGAATATGGTAAGGCCAGTGCTCTTGTTCAGCTCTCCGCTTGCCAAGGACTTTTCAGGAGTCAAAAGTGTTCTTTTCGAGACGTAAACCGAGCCAGGAGAGAAAGATGACGCCCGACTGAATTCGCGCGAAGGAAAAGTTGATGCCAAGCTTACCGAGATACCGGCGGGTGAAAGGTCAACACGGCGATCATTCATTTGTCTG